GAACGAGCAAAAGTAGAGGGGGAAAGCGTAATACAAAATGCAAAACAGATACGGTCCCGTTCCTATCGCATATATTAACGATTCGACGCTTTAGTGGGAGGATGGACGCAACCGTTTCGGCGCCATGGGCTCCGATAGAATTTGAAGCATTACATTAGTCCGACTAATGACCGACATGACTGTCCGTAGACACCGGTAGATACCGGTTCTTCGAGGTCTCCGAGAGGAAGCATGCCCCGAAGATCGTTGCGGAGAGCAATACGGAGGACGATGATCGCCTCTCCGCGTTGAGGGCGCCACATACTCGAGTGCATCCTCAGATGCACATTCGTATGCATGTGCGAAGACATCGTGAGTCAAGTATCGGAAACGCGATGAATTTAATTTTTATACGTGGAAATTATCTTTCCTTTGAAGAAAAGGAAAGATACAAATTCTGTCTTGCATTTATCGCTTACCTTTAAATTTATGAAAAAGAAAAGAATTGAAAAGATTTACGTTATAATTTTAAACCAACGCAAAATTAAATATAAATAGCGAAGTTATCTTAAAAAAGGAATAGATAAAATAACGAAATAACATAGAAAATTATTCTAATATTTATCAAATCTATTTCAAGTTTCTTCCTCGATAAGCTGAGCTATTTCATGTGATATATAAATAATACAGATCTTTTTTTAAATGTTTATCGAGCGGAAGGCAGTTTCAGATTTATCAGAGAACTTCTTAAAGAAATTATTGATTCTTGAAGGAAAGAAGTATGCGAGCTGTGTCAGGACTAGGTCGGTCTATTTTACGTCTGATTTCTTAATTTTTTATAAGGCAATCGTACGGATTTAAGTTACAATTTTAAACCAATACGAAATAGAAAATAAATCGTGAAGTTAAAAACAGGGTAGAGGATAAAGGTAAACACAGAAAATTGTCCTAACATTTTAAAAATTTATTTCAAGTTTCTTCCCTAGCTAATTTCATGATACATAAATAATGCAAAAATGTTTTTTCAAATGTTTATCAAATAAAAGGACTTTAGATTTATCGAAGAATCATCTCTTTAAAAAATTATAGATGTTTAGAAGGAAAGAATAATTAGATCTATTTTACTTCTGATCGCAAGGATCTACGTTATAATTTTAATTAAATGTAAAATTAAAAATAAATCGCAAAATAATTTTAAAAGAAGGATAAGAACAAAATAACGACAACACAAAAAATTGTTTTAACATTTGGAAAATTTATTCCGCGAGCTTCTTCCCCAGCTCATTTCGTGCTAGTACATAAGCGAGATACACGTATCTCTTTTTAAATGTTTATCAAGCAGGACGTTAGATTTGTCAGAGAAACACCATTTCTCTGATAATCCCACGTTTAAATTTAGCAGGATTTTAGAAATATCATTCGAGAACACACGTTTGTTTCTCTCGGAAGCGGAAGGAGAAGGCGCGACAGAATTAGGCGAAGGCGCGAAATCGTAACAGGAAACGTGAGCCAACGACGATCGTAAGTCAAGGAAGCACTCTCGTTCTTAAAAGCCCGCAGTAATGTAACGGGGAAAGAAAACGGTGCGTCGCGTCACATCGCGACACGCGCGCGCTAATTTATGGCTTCGCGAGAAGACCGCGTCCCTTCCCTTCACTCGCGACTTACAATTAGTCGCCTTGATTATATCTCGGAGGCCGGAAATTTCATACGGCGGTAATACGGCCTATAAGGGACGCCGACGTAATATCGGCGTGCCCAAACTCGGCCGAGATCGTCGTGCCGTCTCGCGCGCCTCGCGCTGCCGAAATTAAATTCCTGCTGAGTTTTACGCGAGCCGTTCGAGCGCCGTTCGGGGCGGCTTCATCACGATGGTTGCTTTTCTTAATGAGTGTCAAACTGCCCTCTCCTCTCAATTCTCCTCCCCGGGATCATCGGCCGGAGCGACGTTTGAGCTCGCACGGCAGTCGCTGGAGCCGAAATAGCGGACGGCGTGACGGTGGAGTTTGTTTGATCTGCTTTGTGTCAGTCGCGTGTCTGGATGAAGCAATAAGCCGAACAAAAATACTGAAGCGAAACTCTTTGAGTTGCGAGAAACCCCGCAGAAACCCCGTAGAGTTTTTCAAATTATATACTTTGAATACTGTTTGAAGAGAAAGTCGATGTCATTGCGTTGGAATAGAGACATCTATAACGTCATTCTACAGTTGAGAAGAAAAGGGAAGAAAATGCGTGAAACGTTTGAGTATATTATGCAAAACGTGTTATTCCTTCTCTTCCTTTCTCTCTCTCTCTTCCTTTTTTAAAAAGATAACAAGAATTATCCTAGTTTCAATGGAAATTTTCAATCGCATTATTCTCACTGCAGATTCGAGATATTATTTCGCGTATTTTTCAGCGAATTCGATCGCACGCGTTCAGTGCACATTAAAATCGTTGTACACAAATCGGATGTAATAAATATATGTGTTTATAATAAATATAGAAATGGATTAAACCGCGACATTCTCAATACACTTTATTGTATTGTGATATGGGAAGTACGATTTTGCTGAAGTATCTACACAGAAAGAACGATTTTGAAATTCTCTCTCTCTCTCTCTCTCTCTCTCTATATATATATATATATATATATATATATATATCTAAATTTATTTACAGATCTGAAAATAACGTTGTTGGACCATCAAAATGTTTATGTAAAATGCTCGAATATGGTGAGCGATGCTGCAGAAAATACTCTAACAAGTTCGAGCGTTCTACATAATTAATTTGATGGATCAATAAAATTATTTTCAGATCTACGATACATCTAAACAATCATCTTTTTTATATTTTAACAAAATTGTTCTTTTTGTATAAAATTTAGTTAGATACGGATCTGAAAATAATTTTGCCTCAGACTATCGAAATAATTATACATATATGACAAACACAATGAACAATGCTGTAAAAAGTTTTCACATTCTAGCGACCAGCTTGTGCGACATAATATATAATAATTATTTAGTCTACATATAATTATTTTAATAGTCTAACAAAATTATTTTCAGATTTGTGTCTAGCTACATTTTTAGATACTTCAGCAAAATTGTTTTTTTAGTGTATATAGGTAAAATGTGTAGGTATTAGAAATATTTAAGCACTACAATCCGCTTCGACCGAAAAATAGGATCATTCTCATTTAATTTTTACTCTCATCGGTTTATTTTAAATTGTACTTGCTTAAAGTACGTATTTTATAATTCGATAGATTTGTATATCACTTTTACACTCCGATTAGATCAGTTTGCAACGACTTTAATGTACCATACACTAGTGCGTCCAATTTAATGGCAATACTCGCAAAATTGCACTTTTATTCCGCGTCTTCGAGCGAAGTCGGAGATAGCCTAACTACGAAATAAGAAAAGAAAAAAAAAAGAAGCTTTTATGTGTCACTGTGTAACCGCAACATCTCGTCTGCACCGACCGCAGCGAGTCAAACGTAGTACTTCTACGCGACGATGAGGGGGAGAGCGATTCTAAGTCAACGTCTCGCGAGCGTGCGGCGTAATGCCGATCGTGTAGTCTTGCGGAGATCGCGGAGCTCGTGAGTCGCGGGAGGCACACGGGGCTGTGCGACTTCGGGCGACTTCGGGCGGCTTCGCGCTGATCCGCCGGTGTTCGGAGCAGCCCCCACTCTCCGGCCGCCGTCAGCCGAGTCTGCCGACGCGAAACGAACGCTCCGCCGCGACAGACGCGTCCGCGACACCGAGCTGGGTGGTTACTGTTACGTTCGATTCGCCAGGCCGGAGTCTCGGGACCGAGAGGTATCACTCTCTCTCGACGGTTCGCGCGTGTACCGTATATTCCAACTGACTCGCTCGAGTCGCGACGGCCAGTCGCGCCGTATCGCGGATTCTTCGTTTTTTTTTTTTTTTATGCGCGCGCGATTTCGAATCGATCGTAATTGGACGGATCTCCGTCGTTCGGAATCTTCGTCCGAGTGTTTCCTGGGAATAGTCGAGAAGTGTGACTTGGTGTTGGCGAGTGCCGATTCCTGACGCGCCTGAGTAGCGCGAGGATACACTCGACGCGAGTGTGTTTGTGTGCCCGAGAGGGATATTCCAGGGTGTGCGGCGCAGTGAGGATTTAACTAGTGTTTTACTTGGAGCCGCGCGAAGCACCTGCGATCGACGCGACGGATATGTGGAGGTACGAGACGGTGCGCTTAAAAAGTGTAGAAACCGCGAACCCGCTGGTCTAGCGTCGTCCACGGAATACTCGTTTTACACCCACTCGCTCCACGCGTTTTCTCGGTCGAGGAAAAAATTGCGGATCCCGGATATGCGAAGCGCTGTCGCGTGCAGCCGCTGACTGGATCGTGTGATCGACGGCGAGCCGACGGGAGTAGCTTCGCTGCTCCGAGAAGGCCGCGTCGCGTCGCGTCGCTGATCTCCGAGTGATCTCGGCGAGAAAACTGAACCAATGAACCGCCTGGCGAGCTGTGCTCCCGAGAGAAACACGGGCTGGCTCCATGGGACCGGCGCTACTTCGGACACCATCGACAACGGTGCGCCGAGAGACGCGGATCGAGTGTGATCGTTTTTAATTTGGAGGTGAAACTTTGGCGGTAGGTCGAGTCCGCGGTGAGTCGCCTTTAGAGTTTCGAAGAATTATCGAGGGTTTCCCCCCATCGAGAGACTCGTCGCTTCAGACAACTTCGGGATTAAGATCGTGACTCAAGAGACTCACGATGACGGCGTGAGCGATCGGTTCTGAGGAAGGTGGGACAAGGTGGTAGGTCCACGTCGCCAGGATCATCGCGGGAGGAAGAATACGGTCAAAGTGGAGTGTGGATGTGGTGCGACAGTGGTGGAAGAAGTAGGTGGTTGTGGACGACTGCAACGAGGTCGCGGGCGAAAGTGCAACGGGTGCTGTGCCTCGCGGTTCGTGGTGGTTGGTGTCGGTGGTTGTTGTTAATCGAGTACGGGTGCTTGAGTGACGGTGCCAGTCCGTCGTCCGCCGTCGTTGTTACCATGGTTTCCACGTCCTTCGTGACCCTGGTGTTCCTCGTGTGCCTGCAAACGGTACTACTGTCGACTGTGAGCAACTGCGCCAAGACGATCAGCATGTACTGGAACACCACCAATTCCATGTAAGTGCGCGAGTTTATGATTCATCATTTTCCTCTCGGCGGCGTCACGATGCGACGACGCGACGGCGATCCGCCGATCGATCACGTAATGTCCGAGTGCGGTCGGAAAGAACGAGTTTGCTGAAATACGTATATCTATACACGGGAAGAACGGCTTTGCTGAAGTATCTGAAAGTTTATATACAGATCTGAAAATTATTCTCTATCGTCAAAATTATTATGGATGGCCGCTTAAATTCTAAAACTTCTTGCAGCAGTGTTGTACGTAATTATTTTAATGATCTAAGAATTATCTTTAGATCCGTATCTAATTAAATTAGATACTTAAGCAAAATTGTATGTTGGTTCCGTGTAAAAATTTAAATAGACTTGAAAATAATTTTTATCAAATAATTAAATAATAATTTTGTTAGAGCATTAAAATAATTATGTTGAAAATTCAAGTTTAATAAGCAGTGCCGTAAAAAGTTTTAGGTACACGTTTTAGCAATCAGCTCGAGTATCCTACGTAAATATCCTCTGTAATCTAACAAAGTTGTCTTTAAATCGGATAGATTATTTTTACTTCAACAAAACCACTCTTTTCTTATTTTAAAAGGAAAATAATAAGTGAAAATTCCGCACAAGTTGCGATTGGTTTTTAGTATGAAGAAAAGTGAGAGACGTTTAACGAGGATTACGTGATCAACCGCAAAGAGCGCTCGGCGGAATAATTAATAATTAAGTTCTACTTAAACTAAAAGTCTGTTGCTTTGTATAAGCAATGTATTGTGTTTCATCAAAAATACAAAAATTGCTACGTATAGCATATCTTGTAAAAATATCTTGGAAAGTAAAATATAAATTCCTGTTAAATCGAATATTACAATTAATCCCTTTTTAAATTACAATTTAATTACACTCAGACTAACTGCATACATTTGTTTAAAATATTAAAGACTATCAGGAATTTAACTCGAAATACGATCGTTCGTTCTCGATTCTAAATTTGAAGGAAGGATCAGATAGCATTACATATACCGGGAGAATATAGGTCTCGTTTTATAATCCGCGCATTTCCATAAAGAATGCCGCGCATTCATGCAAACGGATTTGGACAAAATTCGATTTTACTCGCGGCTTTCTCGTTCACGTGTTTCGCATCGCGCTCCGAAATTTCTATAAAACGGTTTTTAAAAGATCAATATTATTGCAGAATATTAATCGTTTAGGCTATATTGAAAATCGGGGAAATGTCACGGAGTTTTGGGAAATTTTCTGAAAAATTAAATTTCTTGGCTTTAAAGAACACATCTACGTAATTTTAGAATATCAACTTGACAGTTGAATACAAGCAGTGTCGGAAACATTAGTAGAAATTTTCATTTTACTGTGTAAAATTACACTCTCGATAAAATATTTCCAAATCAAAACGAAAATACGAAAAAGAAAATCAAAATCAATATTATTAAAAGCATCAGGGAAAATTATGAAATCTGCGGCCCAAAAATCAAGAAAGAATTATGGAATTTTTAAGTAAGAGGAATTTGTGACAATCATGATTGATTCCAGACTGTTTATTTTGAACTATTTAAAAGAAGCAATTATAATTTCGTACAAAATATTTGTTTAATAACATTGAAAGTCTAGGGGTCACTTAAGTCTCGCGACAGGTCTTTTCTCAGGTACTCCAATATTTTTCTCTGCGTCATGGTCTTTCTTTTTGTCATTAACGAGAGTCGCACGAGAGCGAGAAGAATCGTATTGGTGTTTGGTGCGCGTGCCAAGACGTTTAAAAGTCACCGGGGTGTGTTTGCAAAGTGAGCGTTTTACCGGTCAAATCGATTTCTCACGGCGGAACCGGCGTCGTCGACATTGTCGTCGTCGTTTCGAATAACAGCCATCCTTTCCTTTCTCACCCTTTCTCTCTTCACTTCCGGTGAGCTTTTATCGCACCGGGCGTGGTATCGCGTCTGCCAAAATTGCAGCAGCACTAGTGTGTGTACGACTTTAATGCGCCGCGCCGCGCCGGTGAATTGGCCGATCCCCCTCCGTCCGTGGCGTTTCCCCGTGACGTCCAAATTGCAGGCGATCGCGGAGAAAAAGAGAGGCGGAAGCGACGTGTCAGAAACTGCGCCGGGATTATGGCAGGCGCAATATTGTGGCCGATGCCGCGGTCGCGCGAGCGTGTTGCGCAGAACGCTCGATGCAGATCGCAGGAAAGTTTCGGTGTGTATGTTGTGTGTAACGGTAGTGGTAATCAATTCCGCGATTGATGAAAGAGAGGTAATTTTGTTTTGCCGAAAGTTGGAACTTCTCGATATTGAAAATTCCGGAACCCGAAAGTTGAATATTTCTGAAACTTCGAAAATTTCCCGGAGCTGCAAGCGCTAAAGTTAGGAGTTGAAAAACTGAAAATTTCTCCAAGTTGGAAATATATTTCGATATTTCGAGAGCCGATGGTTTGACACGCGTGAACGATCTCGGACCGTTAAATATTTCGGATTCTCGCGCGCGCGCGCGCGTATAGGTATAGCATCGTCGCAAGAATTCCGGAGCCGCGGGAATTCACGAAACGTTAAGAATTTTGCAAGTTGCCGTCAGCAAATTCTGGATTCTTCTAAGGATATCGTTTAGAGATGCTCAAGTAAGGGATTGAACATCACACGTTTAGTCCGCCATATATTTTTCAGGATCTACTTAAGATAGAGTGAGATAAATTATAAAATCTAATGCGTATTTTAAAAGAATTTTAATAAACATATATCATTTGATATGACAGAAATCATCATTAATTTGATTTGACTAGCATTTTTTTCTTTATTAAATAAATTACTGTAAGTAAATGTTTACTTATTATTAGTACTATTTAAAGAAATATATATGTATATTAAAATTTAATAATTTATTTTTTGTTGTATCTATGCGTTCCATCTTTCAGCAGGTAAAAATATGGCGGACCACAGAAGTTGTCTAAACAGCGTTCATTCATTCTCTTACCTGAGGATCTCTAGATATCACTCAGCTCGAGCGACGCGTCGGTATTGCTAATGCTTTCCATAATGTGACACATCTTTCGCGGCGTGCAGCCTCTTTAGCAGTAATTGATCGATAAGAGCAGCAGCCGAACACGACTCGTCTAACCGAGAGTGGCGGCGCGCAAAGGTGCAACGAATCGCAAATGCATCCCGCGTACGTACATATATGTACGCGCATGCATGTGCAACATTGTGACCGACTTCGTAGCCTGGACCCCTGCGCGCTTGCTTGCATAACTACGCAGTAAGGTTAACCACCGCAATCTCGTAACATTTCGTTTTTTTTTCCCCCCCTTTTCGCTGTATAAGGAAACACGGGCCTTGTACGTGGGTACCTCGTTACCCCCGATGATTTCTTTCGCCTGGTGTGAAGCGGCCTGCGTAATTCGCGAGAGATTTTTTGCCCTCCTCCCTCCGCCGCCTTCATCTCACGACGACGAGAGATGTATGTCCTCCCGGTTCCATTCGCTCGTGCTACTCGTATTTCGCATCTTGCAAACTCGCCGGCTGCTTAACAAGGGCGACGTCTCCATTTTTGCGATGGGAAAAATAGCCGTTTCATTTCCTTTCTGATTTCCTTCGTCTCTCTTCGATTAACGATCGCAATTAACGACGTCGATTGATGTTCGGTCGTTTCGAATATAGCTTTTAATATTAAACCTCGCACTCGCTTCTTGTTTTTCTTAATATCATATCGAATCGAAAAAATCTCGATTGTGCACGCTGTTATTATATTGACTGAAACGTGCATCCGTTTTCTTGCTTTACTCTTGATTACGATTCTAACACTAACATAAGAGTACCAACTTCTGTTACTTTGTAAAAAATACATAATACATAATTTTTAATTTGTTTTTATGCGTACAATTGAATATTATATTGTTATTATTATTCATAATTCTTATTTAAATTCTTTAAATTAATATATTGCATTATGAGATGATTTTGTAAGATCGTATTTATGTTTTTTGACTCTTATTTGCCTTTTCTTTCTTTGTTTTTTTTTTACATAATTTTTAAAAAATCAAAAAATTCAAAAATCTTGTTTTTTTAAAACAAGATACATATATTATAAAAAATAAAAACGGAAATAATGACTATTCTGTTTTCCACTTTTCATTCCTCCTCTGCTTCTCAAGTCAGTATATCTTATCTCATTTTTCATGAATCTGTTGGGTTTGTCTTAACGGTATTATCTGTTCATACTTTGAATTTTTCTGTGGTTAGACTTCGTATTAGCTATATCGCTGTTATTTTGTCATTTGTTAATACTTTGTCTGCATGATTATTATTATTTTTGTAATTTTATACATTAAATCTAATTTTTAAATGCATGCAATAAGGTTATTAGTAATATTATATTATTTCTCTAATATTTTTTCACGTTGCAAAACTACCATCATTGTTACATCTGCTATTTTTGCTTGTAGGATAATTTTTCTTTTGACGGTGTGGTTTTCGATTTGTACTTTAAATGGAACACAGGAGCGTTCCCGTTCCACCGTGTCGAGGCCGGTTGCCGATGGCGCAGCGAAATTCGGGTGTTCTATTCTTCTTACAAGGTCCCGGCAACGTCTACCTGACTTTGACGTTCGCGCGTGCATTACGAGCCGGTTACGAAGCTACGAAACCCCGCGAGCGAGCGAACGAACGAGTGCGTGAGTGAGCGAGCTCTCGGGTATTACGTGCGAAAATCCATTTTGCGCGCAGGAGAGGGACGCTGTCAGGCCGTCCTCCTGCTTGTGGGCAGTACGAAGGGGCAGTAAAAAAAGCGTGCACCTCCTTCGCGAGACCGGGAAAAAAGGCCCGGGCGTGCGGCGGCGAGAGGAGGATACGTGACAAGGCGCAAAAAAGGTGCCCGGGCAAAACGGGAGGCCGTAAATCTTGGCCTCTTATTGGGAAATCGAAATTCGTTTTAAGAAAGCTGTCGGCTGGCGGACGCTGCGAGCGAACAAGAGAGACGGCCGATGCCGCTTGATTATC